CTGGTGAATCCTCTCACCCTCCACATCTCTGGCCTGTACCCCAGTTCTGTATGAATAAATAAATCTTAAAAAAAAATTTCTTGTTTTATTTATATCCTTGTATATATTTTTTGTTTGTTTTTAATTTGATAAGAAAGCTGCTTTCAGTGCTTCTTGTAAGGGAAATCTAGTGGTGGCAAATACCTTCAGATTTTGTCTGTCTGGGAATTCTTTGTCCTTAAGTTCTGAAAGAGTCTTGCAGTCTTACAGGCTATTAAATTCTTGCTGGCCATTTTTATTTTCCAGTTATTTGAATATGTCATTCTACTTTCTCCTAACATGTAGAATTTCTACTAAGAAGTCAATGAAAGCTGATTGGATTACCTTGAAAACTCCTTTGCTTTCTCCACTTCCTAGACTCTTGATAGTTTCATTACTGTGTTTCTTATAGTAGGTCTTTATGCATTTAGACAACTAGGTGTTCTCTCAGCAGCCTGGGCCTGTATATTCAGTTTCTTCCCAGGCTTGAAAATTTCCAGTTCTTTTTTCCTTAAAAAATTTCTCTGTTCCCTTCTCTCTCTTTCCACATTTTGATATATCAATTTGCTTTTGTCATCTTTCCTATTGTAATCAAATAGGTTTCACATTGTTTCTTCAATTTTTTTTTTCTTATTCCTCTTCCTCCACCTAAGTAATTTGTAGGCCTCTATCTTTGAGTTCACTTAGTCTTCCTTCATTTCATTTATTTTCTCCACAGTTGAATATAACACTTTTCACCAATTTACTGAGTTTTTCATACCCTTAATTTCTATTATTATCTCATTTAAACTTCAATTTCTGCCTTATGAGCATTAATTTTACCTAGAAGTTGATTAATTTGTTTTCCTCAGTTTTGTTATATATTTTTGCTTTTCTGAGTTCTCATGTCACTTTCACTTGATTTTCAACATTTTCTTGTATCTTTTCAGTTTATTACAATTAATATGAACTCTTGATACATAAACTTCCACATCTTTGAAGTTAGATTCCAGAGTTGTTTTCACTTTATAATATCATAATATCTCAATATCCCTTGAGATTCCAAGTTGTCAACTTTTTTTCCATCTATGTTTGCTACTTCATATTTTTCTGGCATTTTTTCTTCTTAATCTTGACTTGCAACTTAGAGATCTGAGCTACTTATGTTTTGCTTTTTCAGAAGAGGAACTCTTGCTGTACCTTATTTTACTTTTTTGGTTCCAGTTAGTTTCTAAGATTACCTAGACTCCTATTTATAGTTGCTGTGTCATAGGGATGAGAGAAGAGTGCATAACTGATTTGCCAATGTCACATATGTCTTGGGGTTCAACTTCTTTCATGATTTTGTTGCCAATAATATCCCTACTCAACTGAGTCCCAGATCTAAGAGATGGAGGTCTATCACCTATCAGTGCATTTCATTATATTCATATAAGCTCTGAAAAGAGTGTAATCATACTGTAATCATATTTGTTGTCCTGCTTGATAGAGTCCTGACCTATGTGGAGTCCTGGCCAATGTGGAGCTCCTGAACTTCTCCACTAAGGGCTTTACCAGGGCTGAAGGCATGTACCTCCCACATTGTCTCCGCTCTCTTCTCCCAAGGGTCTTGGCTAAACCAGTAGAATTTTCATCAGTGTTCCCCACCTGACAATGGCCTCCAAACATTTCTCTTCACCAACATGCAATTACACCCATGTTTAGATTATCTCATTGTTCCCTCTAACACAATCCGTGTTAGTGTCTTAGGTGCTTCAACTTCATTACCACTCTCTAGGGAATCTCTCAGGTTGGTTTTTTTTTTTTTTTTTTTTGCCTAGCTAATTGTTAGTTATTCACTTTGGAAGAAAAGCAAGGAAACTCCTCTTTTGCCAACTTTATGACATCCCAAGAATTAGTTCTTTAATGAGTAAAGTAGAAACATTCTTTTTTAAAATATAATTTGTTAGCTCACATCTTCTGTTGTTACAATATCCAGATGCCAATGTTTCTCTCTCTTGCTGTCTTTCTATGTATACATATATGTCAATATAATACAATATTAATATATAACATAATTGCATAAATATATGTAACAGTTCTTCACTTTTCTCATAGTCCCTTTCCTAAAACCATTACAAGAATTCTTTCCAGATCTTGGAAAGGTTAAGAAACCTCAATGAAACAATTTCTGGATATTTAAAGTAGGGACAAAGTACACAATTTATGAATTGGCCATGAATGTTAGATTAAAATACATATACTTTGCAAACTATAAAGTAAAATTTAATAGAAGAATCCAACTTATATCATTATTCCCAAGATGAAATTGAAGCTCAAAAAGGCTAAGAAAGTTATATAAATTTACTTAGAAAAGAAGGAATATAATCTCAATCCCAAGGTTGTTGTTCTGAGTTCATTACTAATATTTTCACATCACATGATTTCTAGTTGTTTTAAGATTTAAAAAAAAAAGGTCCATTCATACCAAATTTCAGTATTTATTATTATTACTAGAATTATATATGCTGTCCCTCAAGTAAGGACATCACTGAGTTTAATGACATAACTTAAATGCAATGTGATGGGCCTCAAGAGATTCCAGTATGCTCTCTAGACTTTTGTAGGAACACAAACACACACAAAACAGGAAAATTGATTTACATATTCAAGAGTTGAAGAAAGAAAAGAGGCTGTAGCTTGATCACTCCACTCACTGTCTATGCCCCATACTGGAATCTTGGCCCATTCCTCCTACTCTTATCTCTAAGATGCATTGTTATAACCAACAAAAGTGAGAATCTAAGGGTCATGGTGTCCTCTGTCTCTTTTCTGGGCTAGAATTTTTAAAAAATATGGGAACCCTGGAAAAGTAACAAAAGTTTTGGTTATAGTTGGATTTAGACTAATGATGAAACACATTTGATTACCTATAGGTAAACTTACTCTGTTTTTCTTCTAAAAGATTTTTCCTCTCGGAGATCTACAAGAGGAAGAGGTAAGTAGATTTTCATCTAGTATGAAAATAATATGTAAAAGGTTGACAAAGTAGACTCTCACTAAGTTTTCATCTTGTCTTTTAGGATTTCGACATTTGTATTCAACAGAAAGTGGTAAATAATATCCTGAATTTGTAAGAAAATAATACAGAAATATTTTTACATGAGAAATTTAGAATCATGGTTTCCTTCAATCTTCTAAATACTTCATATGATGATTGAAGTAAATATATTTATAGATTATGGCAAAATTAAAGGAAAATCAATGTTTCCCTTATTATAACATGGGAGTTAAAAAAAAAAAAGAAAAAAAATACAAGAAGCAAAACAACTACATAGAAGATTTTGAAAAATACCAGGAAATCTCCACTTTACACTATGTGCCTCCTTCTTATATTCTATTCCTTTCCTGTTTACTAACTAATCAGTTAACAAAGGTAGTATTAATACTCAAGAGAAATTCAATATCCAAAGTTTCAAAATACTAACCACTTCATGTACTGCTCTTAACATGAATATGGAGTAATATTATGCCATAGTACCATAAATTAAAGAAATAAAATACATTTCTAAAAATTTATCATGTTAGCATTAGTAGATTAAATTTTCAAGACACAGAATAGGCAGATAGACTGAAATACACTACTAGGGGAAGCAAGGGGCAGGACAAAAGAGGTCTGCTGCACCATGTGGGTCTCCTCCCTAGATCAAACTCATGTTGCAGTGGCTGCGGACAGCTTCATCGTGCTGCATTTTAACCCCTTTCACCACAAGGGAGGGGTCCAGTATATTATTTAAATATGAAATTTAGTACTTAAATCTTAGCCAAATTTAAATATGCCACATATTATAAAGTTACATGACTTTCAAAAAATTAAATACATTTAATTTCTTATAAATAAATAAGTTCTATTTACTTCATTTTATGTGTGGGATATTATCTTGAGTCTTAGAAACATTCTGTGTGCATAGGTGAGGAGTTGAGGTCTGAGGTCTAAGGTGGTTTTCATTCATCCTGTTGGCTACTCACTCATTCCTGCCTTCTGAGAGGGCCAAGCCTCATGGAGATTCTGTTAGGCAAGTTGGCTGCCTCCTTGTGGCACATCTCACATCAAGGAAAGGCAGCTTTCTTATTTCAGTTTTATATTTTATCTTCTTATGACCTCCCACTTCTACTTATTATAAGAGTATTGGGATTTCGGGAGTAATAGGCTAAATGTATCTGTTCAGTTTATCTTAAATTTTCACCTATTTAGAGGATGGTATTGTGGACATTATGACTATAGAAGCTTAAGGAAATAGTCCTGAAGGGACTTGAGGGGAAAGAGGTAGAAAGTCAGATCTAAAGAAAAATTGGGCAACACTTTACCCATGGGTCACAATATTCTCATCTATATAGTAGAGCTAGTATTTTTATACCAAAGGCAATGCATTAAAATATAACAAACATCAATTACAGAATATGAAAATTTCACCATCTCAGTATTTTCTATTTTGAACATATCAACAGAACAATGAAAAACTAAGTGACATTCATATAAAACAGAAGGGATTTTTGTGTGTGTTGGACTTCAGTGACAATCAAGTATGGAAATAAAGCACTCCACTATAAAAAGGGACCTGAAGGATCCTTCCTGGTGGTGCAAATGGTAAGGATGCAGCACTGCAAGCTAGTCTCAGCCACCTCAGCGTCAGCTCAATCCCAGCCCCAGAGGTGAACCACAAGGTATGGCAGACCTCTGCTGACATACCTGCTGCCCCTCAGCAATGTACTTCATTGATCAGCCTGTCCTGCTCCCCACTCTGTCTATGGTGAATCCTCTTACCTGCCTGCATCTCTGACTTGTACCCCAGTTCTGAATGCATAAATCTTTAAAAAAAAAAAAAAAAGGGGGGGGTAGGGAGTGGAGGAAAAAAGCCTTCTCATTTCTGGGTAGATTTTTATTTATTTTAGTAAGATATCAAATGATATTCTTGTGCAATATAATTTAAGTCATTTATAGAGTGTCAGTGTTACTATTTATTTTACATATTTATGAAAGACATTGTCATAATATCACTAGATATTATGTAATTTGTTATGTCTGTCTCCAGATCTTTTAGACAGTCTGTTTCTAGAACAACACTAAGAAACAAATCTTACATCATAGGATGCACATCTAATCACAATAAATATGTGTGTATTATTAAAAATTATCCTATCTTCATTGAACTTGAACTTCTAATCATTTTTTCCTCTTTTTTTGAGCTTAATGTATTTTATAGCCAGTATATTCTTCTAATTCATTGTTTCTATACATAGGTTATTATTCCTCTTCAATACATACCCTGAACTATTTAACCTTTGCCTGATTTTTAATTAAATTTGATTTATGAATCAAGTCATAAGGAGATTTTTTGCTCCAATTTCCTTCCTTCCTGCTTGGATAAATATTTGAAGGTGCTAATTAGGTAATCTGTAATTATATCAACTTTACAGAAATAGAAAATCTAACCATTTTTCTTTGTTTTGCTTGTACTTTTAGAGGCATCCAGAGATTATTATAGTAAGTAATCTTTGCTTCTTAACAAAAAGTTGCTTCCCATAAGTAACACTTTGCTGATTGTGAAATTTGTAGTAAAGAGAACTGCTGAGAGTTCATATGAGTACTAGGGTGTAAAGTGTCTTGTTGCTGGTTTAGGATGGTCTGTCAGTAAGGTACAAACTTCCACATTGTCTGGGAGGGAATATAAAATTTCCTGTAAAATACAGGGAATGATAAATAAAGGAAAGCAGAGGGATAGAGATAAAGGAGGAGAAGAGGAAAAAAGAGGGAAAGTGGAACAAAGAAATATGTGATAAAGTTTTACTGCAATAGCATCTGTCTGCTAAAAGATGGGACTCTATAGAAATGGAAAGGATGAGACACCCACTGGCAGGCAGTAAACCTCCCAGGGCCTGGCTCCAACACCTGAGAGCAGGGCACAGTGATTGAAACTGACCTGCAAAAGTAGGGAATCCAAACACTGATGCTTCTTTGTATCCTGCTCCTCTGTCTGTTTCTGTATTTAGCACCATCAGCCATCTCATCAGGTAAGTCATTTGGGGTTTTCTTTTAATTCTGCTGTAATCTGATTTACATGTCCTGGAGATTCTGTATTTGTTTTACTGTATCCTAAAGAAGCTTTTTAAATGTAGTACAAAATAATTAACATTTGCAAATTCACATCCTAGATTTGACAACTGATGTTTTATCATGTTTCTCAAGTGACAGATAATATAGAAGTTCCTCCATCCCTGGACTCATTTCCTTCAACCCTCTTCCAGAGACTTGTAAATGTATTATGGATCTGTTAATGTATTTTCACATACTGTTTATAACCTTTATGCACTGCAGAAAAATACATAGTATTCTTTTGGTTATATTGCTTTAATTTTTTTTATTAAAGTAATAGTATTCTGAATGCATTAGTTTTTGTTTTTCAAAAAAGTCACTTTAACATTGAACTATATGGAAATCCAGCTTATATATTTTAATTTCTGGTTGATACTCTAATTTGTGAATATACAGTGATTTTCTATTTTTCCCCTGAAGTATTCTCAATGTTTATATTGTATGCTATCACAAATGCTGCAAAATGTCCTTATAGAAATAGTAAACAGTTCAGGCTATATACCCACATGGGATTAATGCATCACATTATGTATGGGCATTTATGTAACTACAGCACAATTTAAATTTCCCTTGTTATTGCTCAACTGAACTCCATGATAGCTTAACATCACCAAAACGCATTAAATATTTCTATTTCACCAAAATGAATTAAATATTTCCATTTCCTTGCATCAATAGGAAGGCTGGAATTTATCATACCATCACATTATCACCACATTGTTAAATATAAATTTTTTAAACTTGTATTTTCTGCTCACTCCTGAAATTGAGTATCTTCTAATATGTCTACTAGCTTGTTAGGCTTCATCTTATACAAATTGTTGGCTTACCTCCATTTATCTAGTGGATTACTGACCTGTAGGAAATTTTTGTGATGGTGAAAGCTAATCTGTTAATAAGTTCAGTGTTAAGTATTTACAAATATCTCCCCAATTAGATTTTAGTTTTAAATTTTTATGGTGTCTGTTAGTCTTTAAAAGTTTCCCATTTTCCCTTATTATTAAAAGAAATTAAATATATATATTAAAAGATAAATTATATAGATCTCACAATCTTACTCTACCATAACAGTGTTACTAGGGAAATATAAAAGTTGGAAGTGTATGCAAACAAACAATTCATAAGTGATTATCTGTGTGCCTGCCACACAATTGTGTTATAACTGATAACAGAACCTGGGGTGAAATCTCTTGTTGCCCTCTTTCTACAACTTATTTCTTATTAGTATTTATAGAATCTAAGCTCACTGAGACATGCAAATCTCATTTTTGTTTGGTTTGACTTGACTTTAGCACTGTCTCAATCAACTATTGGTAAGTCCCCTTACTTTTCTTTACTTCCATTGACATTTTGCCCCCTTTAATCAAAAGGATATTTTCCTAAACTGCCCAAGTTCTAGGTTTCCACCATTTAGGCAGAGCAGAAACTTGGGATTTGAATTCCTTCATTTCATTTTTTTCTGAATAACCCATATATCTCAATAACCCATTCAAATAAGAAAAAAATGAAAGTTTCCAGGGGTTCATTTATCATAGTGAAGTATCAACATAAAACAGCTTCCAAATTTGTAGTGCCAAAGAAAGAGAGTAAGTAAAGAAGGAAGGGAACAAAGAGTTAGTAAGAAAGATAAGAATGGACAAAATACAGTACTAAAGACAAATTGTGCTGTTCCTAAGAGTTTCAAGTTTTCTGTGGCTGAGAGGGAAGCCTCCCCGGGAAGTGTCCCCAGGTCTTTCTGGCAGCAGTGGACATTCTAAACCCTACTCCCTAAGCCACAACTGATGCTGCAGATCTGGTGCTCTTCTGATATTCAAAAAATAAAATGTGTAATTTCTGAGCCAGACAACCACATAAATGTTTTATTTGTATGTGGGTTTTCTGGGGAACAAAGGGCTAAGTTCATTTTTTGTTTCCAAATTCTAAGTCTTGCTAGTATATCACAGAACTGGGAAGTGTTCTCTGGCTCTGCTAGCTGTTTTTTCTCATTTTCTCTTCCTCCCCCATCACCCAACATTGTATCTAAAACTTATGCAAAATTTGTAAAATGAAAACCCAGTGATTAGCAAAATAACAAAGAGGACTAAATTGATTTTAGCTGTTTAGGGTGGTTTCAGCAAAACAATTCAAGTCTCTTTAACTTAGGGGTAGGAAAAAACAAGAAATATGAGGGCTATGAATAAAAGAATGACAACGTAATAAGAAGAGTTGTAATAAAGGCATCTTATTGAGTTCATATTCACAGGTATTCAGATGAGAGCACCAAAGTGCAATGACATTATTTAACTTGCCCAAGTACTACACGTAATAAGAAGGAAAACTAAGGTCCTAAGTTATCTGGTTGTCTAAGTACATTAAATATATTTAAAGTTCCAGGGCAAAGTTTCTTAAAAATACATATATTTCAAATTTTAAAGATTATTTCACTAGTCTATTATTGTGACATAACCCTATTCCTTGAATAAAATTATTGAATATATAAATATATACACACACATAAATGCACATTATCTTCACAGACTACAGTGAGGGTTCAGTCTATAGAATACATTACTGTTACTTTCATAAGTTTCATTGAAAGTTTCATTTATGGTAACCTATGTGCCTACTGGTGGTGGAAAATTCTAATGTATCTTCAGGGCACAATTTTTGGAAAGACTTAGAAAAAGGGTGAAATATTTGGGGTCCTCCCTGGTGGTGCAGTGGGTTAAAGCACTGCACTGAGAAGCTAAAGCCACTTCAGCATGAGTTCGATTCCCACCTGCCCCGGAGGTGACCACATGGCGTGGCAGACCTCTCCTGACCTGCCCGCTGCTCCCCTCAGCAGTGTACTTCATCCACCTGCCTGTTCTGCTCCCCACTCTGTCTCTGGTGAAGCCTCTCACTGCCCCTGAGCCTCTGGCCTGTATCCCAGTTCTGTATGTACAAATAAAAAAAATAAATCTTTAAAAAAAAAAGGGGGTGAAATATTGAATCCTAATGATAGTTGAAATTGAATATTTGTGATTGTTGTTTAGATTTCTGAAGGGATCTGTCTTTGTTCTCATTTTAAAAGCTGGTGTTGTAGGGCAGAGGACTGCTCCGTTTTATCTGTTCCCTGTTTGATCAGAGAAATAATTTGAAGCTCATGATTCTCCACTGCCTCCTTATTGATTATATTACCTATATTAAGCTCACCTGCCTCACTTTCTCCTCTGAGACAATGAAATATCATTTCTTACTTTCAAACAAATTCAACTCGTGCCTTTGATTGCTCTGCACTCCACCTCGTCTCTTCAGCAGTTATAGCTTTTCTATTTGCTTGTCTTTACATGTTGCTCTTCCTTTAATTCCTGAAAGTACAAAGAAGGTCCTTTTCCCATCTCCAACAGAGCCTCCCTAGGCCCTGTGTCCCTCTAACTACACCCCACCCTTAACAGAAGAAATTATTTCTAAGTTAACTTTGGTTGTGAGCTTGGAGAAAAGTTATTTCTCAGCTTTATTACTGAAAATGTGTATTATTTCTCTGAGCTGAGAGCAGTATAATAAGACCTACTGAAATCCCTTTTTAAATGAATTTTCTTACTAAAGTAATTTAAATATAGGAAGGAACTCTTACTTAGCACTTACACAGGCAGGTTTGGATCCAGGCTGCCTAAAATGCATCCCATCAACCTATGTACTTGTTCTTTGAATACAGACAAGTTATTTAATATCTTATTAAGTTTGTAAATCAGTTACAAAATAAATTTCAGCCCTTCAGTTGAAAAACCAGCAAAAGAGAATAAAAACATGAGGGACTCTGCAAGAAATAAATATAAAAATGAAGTTTGAGATGCTACAGTTTAAATCAGTCTCCTGAAAATGATCGCAATGACTACTAAGGAAATATGAACATAAGCTCTAAATGCAGGGAAGACTGAGAAAGGTGTAGGAGGGAGAAAATTCAGTAAATCATGGGGTATTACACCAAAAGTAACAAAGATGTTCAGAAAAAATCTTTTAGGACAACTTTTTTTTTTATAATTCTGAGCTATAAATACTTGTGAGATTTTACATATTGAATGTTACACTTATGGTTATATTTTCAACTAGTAAAACTACTTATTCAAAGACGCAAATGAATACATATTTCATGATTTTCACTACTTCATGATGTTCTGTAAAACATCACAATTTTAAGGTGCTTCACAACCTGAAAAATTTGTATATCACAGTTCTTAATTAAATGCCCAGCCAAAATGATTGTTTAACTTTATGGGGAAAAAGGGAATCCTTTGGTCTCTGTAAATCAGGCACAGCCCACAGGCGATGTTAATCACAAGTCACACTTCTTTGGAGGTATGAATGTTCCCCACTTAACCTATATTCCTTTCTCAAAGTAGGGCACCCACACTAGCTAGCACACCACTAACTCAAAACCACCTGTGTGTATGTGCTTTAGGTGACCAGCATTCATCACTTAGGGTAAAGCTCAGATGAGTAGAGGACACTTTCATAAACACAAATGGGTAGGAAGCACTGCTCTGAAAGGGACAGCTTTGCTGAGAGAGGCCTCTGGTCACAGACAGGCAGTCTTAGAAGATTGGCTTCTGCTGAGGGAGGTCAGGGAAGTCCCAGCAGGTACAGGTCAGGAGCAGGCAGGATGCTGCTGTCCTTCTAGGGGAGAGAGTGGGTGGAAATTGGCACCTACATAGGTATAGGTGGGCAGGAATGATGCCTGGTGCCAATGCAGAGACTGCCCTGATACAGTCCTTTGTCTCTGGGAGGGGCTCACTCCTTTGTGGAGTGGCCTGTTTGCTGCTGACTTTGGATAACTATGTGGAACCAAGACCAGAGATTCCTCAATGGGACGAATCTCTTATATCTTTACCCTCAGGTCTGTGCTCTGGACACTCCCCTAAAGCATTCTGATACCTGCTTGGGCCTTATGCCTTGTTAAAAAGCACTGGAGCCTAAGGGTTTTGTTTTCTATGGTTGGGTCATGTTAATCCCTTGTGTCCCCACCTCCTTGCATAAATCAGGTTTTAACCTTGTGATGTCTCCTTTAGGTTTTCTATTCTTTGCCACCATCACATGTCATGTTCAACAAATGAGAAAAAAAAATAGAGAAGCAAACAAAGCTTAATACCTTAAAAATCAGTGAAACATCACTACTTTGTGAAGTTTCATTTCTTTGTAGCCATGGAATGTTAACATTTACAATAGAATTTTCAGCTTCCCATCGTTTTTATACCAGCTCTGCAATATATGACAAACGGTAGTACAATTTCTACTTTAAAGACTAAAAAATTAGTGTTTAGAAGCTTTCATGATTTATCCAGTCATGGAATGACAGAGAAGTAAAGTTGAGACTCAGGTCTTTCCCCTCAAGATTTCTCATACCTGGGGAGGAGGGCTAGGGATTGCCTATACTTAGTACCCTCAAAGTCTAAATCTCATTTAGATTATACTGCTGATTTTCATTATAGGTGATGCAAAAGTCTTAAAAGCAACTCCAGAACCTTTTGGTAAGTTCTCTTATTGCTCTAAATTTCTTTTGATTTGCTAAAATGTGCCTATTGTTAAGGGTTGGTGTCTGGAGCAAGGAGGCAGGTGAAGATGGAGAGAAGCTCATTTCTGTACTGTCCCCCTTTCCTTTGCCATGTGAGGAGTTTGAGGCTGATTTCAGGGTCCCCTGAGTAACTGACAAATTACTGACAATTTTCTTATTAGAAAAATGAAAATATTGATAATAACTAATTAACAGGTGAAAGAAAAATATAGGGCTGGATGTTGATTGGTGTTGTTTACCAAAAAACAAATTTTTAGAATGAGTTGCCATCAGGAAGACAGTAGAAACTGAGGACAAAAGATATAAACGTGAGTAGTATTTTTACTGAAACCTGAGACCTCAGCCACCCAGCAAATTTAAGCCAAACTCCAGAGAGAAGAGGTGGAGCTGGGAAAGCTAGATTTATTCTAGAGGATAGGCTCATGCTCCAGATTAACCATCTCAATCTGGGGTTCAGGGTGTAGTTTTTATAAAGTATAACTAAAAATAACAAACAAAGATAAACATAACATTAGCAGATCCAGACTGTTAGCTCGCTGAGGACCCATTCAGCACTGGGGTGAATCTAGCTGACTGATCAGTGTTTGGGATGGTAGCAGCTTGATGCAGGGGATGCAGGGTATTTTTTGAAGGCCTTTTAATAGCTTGATTATGTTAATTATCCCTTTATACAGAGTAAAAATCTCTCCCTGTTTACATTTTGTTTTTGCACTTTCCCTATGGTCTTCTAAGAGAAAAAAAACATAAAACAAAAAAACAGAGAACTGGAGAGTTACCATCTTATCACTTTTCTGTAAATCTATTATGTAATAAAATGCTTGATCTGCAGCTCCTTCAATCTTGCTCTCTCCAAACTGACTTGTTTGTTTGTTTGTCTTTTAGCTGGTGCTGCAGGGCCGATAAGTAAGTTCTTTTTCTGTGCTTCAATTTTCATGTGGCTTTGTTTGAGTGCTGGCATAAAAGTCTCAATGATAGTTTATTAGATAATTATAGTGTATATTTGATTCCAGGAATCAGCCTGACAGATTTTAAGTCTGGGAGAACTGTTCAACAATCACAGGTTTAAAATTAGTTTCTACAGAAAGGAATAGTGAACCATTAACATTAAAAAAGTAACTATTCCTGATTCTGGTTGTGTCATTTTGACCTAAAATTATCTCTTCCTTTCTAAAGAATGCATAGTGAAGAGTGAATTGTTAGAGGGGAGAAAACTAAGTCAAAAGGCGATACAAACAGTGGATTTTCTCTCATAGATAGAATGAAAGAAAAAAAGGAACTCACAAAAACAAACTAGAAACCCTAGAAATAAGACTATAGAATTAAAACTATACATTTGGGTTACAGGCAACCCAAATGTAAAATGGGTTGCTTGGCTGTGGGTACTCACCCACAAGCTTAAAAAGGACTCAACAGCAGGCCACAAAAAGCTTAATGAAGGGTTTATTTACAAAAAGGGGAAATGAAGAAATGAATAACTGAGGAACAAAGGGAGAGATAAAGTGATCACTGTGTCCTACCAGTTCTGCTGAGCTAGTACCCAATAGCACACTGAGAGTAGGCAAAAAAAAAACAAGGCCTGTGTGTATACTAAACCTGTCCGCTTAACTCGACTTTCAGTTCCCAGCAATCCTCCTTTCATAGTGATGACATTATGGGATTTGTAGTCCTTGGTGTCTTTGTTCTGGGGTGGGGTGGGGTCTATAAAAAACTGTGTTTGTGGAGTTCCTTCAGAACAGCCTTTCCCCCCCAACAAAACTACCAAAGGGTGAGTGTAGGGGTGGGGGGACAAGTTTAATAAGGAGCTCAGTGGAGGATGATGGAAGACTGCTGGTGCGCTGATGGTGGGTATGTTGTAGTAACACACATCTGAAGACATCTGAACCTAAATCATATATGGTAAATAAATCTTCATTGAACTCCTTATTCAAAAGTAGGAATAGAAAAGTCTGGTTTTACCTATAGGAAAAAAACTTACATAGCTATTTCACAAATGTCAAGTCTATGTGTAGGGTAAATGAAGCTGCTCATGCTCTTTTGCCATTGGCTTCTGTGGCTATCACCTGTGACATTGAATGTAGGAGGCACTGAGGACTGTGGGCTTTTGGTGAGCATGCCTGATGATGGACACCTGGAGTGTGGTGTGGGCCTGCTTAAGTGAGCACACCTGAGCCTAAAGGGCTGCAGCAGAAAGCGGCAGAAAGCCACTGAACAGCTAAGAGAGGAAGAGACCAGGAGGGAGTCCAGACAGTAAAGAGTTGCAGGGGTTCCCTACTGCCCGGCCCTGCCCTTGCCTGTCACTACAGCTGTGCAGAGGGATTTGTTATCTTGTCTGCTAGAGTAGGGAGGGACAGTTACCTTTAGAGCATGTCCACTGCACTCTTAGACTAAGTGACACACTCCTGTCCTTGGGTGTTTTATTTCCTCCTACACAGATTGTCAATTCCCTTCTCTTTATTTCCTATGAATCAAGGTACTTCTGTGAGGAAGTACTTTAAATTTTCTCAGATCATGAAATTCCATGGCAAAAAGCAAAAATATGAAGAACAAAGCAATAGAGAAAAAAGCAGGAGGGGCCTTTGCTAGAAATCCAGTAACAGCAAACTGGGAGTCACCCTCCTCCTGATTGCAAGTTCCCACTGTGATGCCTGCAAAGAGTATGGAAGAAATGTCAAGATATCACTTTAAATGGCATTACCACCAGTATCTCTGGCAGAAGCACTGGGAAGGAAAAGAATAAGTGCAGAGTGAGAAGTAATTGCTTTAGAAAGGAGTGTGCATGGGGTGGGGGATGGTACATGGAAATATGCTCTGAGATTTGACCTGTCCCTTATGGCCTTACTTCTATCAGAGGCATCACTGTAGAGTTAGCTAGGCATGCAGAATGTCAGCCTAACACCTGTTGCCAGAGGCACGGATCACATCTGCATTTTAACAAGATCCAACTTAATATTCTAAAATGAACTCAGAACACATGAGGACAGGAGGGTGTCACTTAAGTCTAACAGTACAGGGGACACAGTCTAACGGCAACTGCCCCTTCCTGCTCTAGCACACAAGAGAGCCCTACATAAACTCAAAGTTTGTGAAATAGCTATGCAAAAGTTTCTTCATGCATGTAGGTAAAACCAGTTTTTTTCATTCCCACTAATAAATAAGGAGGGGAGGTGATTAGGATTTCTATTTTATTTAAATTATATATATATATATACATATATATACATATATGTGTGTGTGCATGTGTATATATATACATGTATATATACATACACACACACATATCACATATCTGTATGTGTGTTAAATTAACCCAGTTGTAAGAAAGGTGATGAATTGCCTGTGTAATCAGCTTAGACCACTGCATCCCTGCAGCTCCAGCTGTCAGGTCACAGTAGTTACTGGGGTCCCCTGATTGTAGAATGAAGAGTGAACTTTGTTACTCCAGTGAAGTGGAATATTTGCTTCTAGGCCTACATTTTTTATATCTTCCCAGAATTTCAGTGCAAACTGTATTTTCTCTGCTAATGAAACATTCTAATTAGTTTGTATATTTTCCCCCACATTTTAGCTGGAGCTATTGGACCCATAAGTGAGTTATTTTTCTCCTTCCTAACTGCAACTTTCCAATCTTCTGTGGAATGTGTGACCTCTCCTTACTGTAGCTGTTTCCATTTCTACACCCCAAATATTGCCCACTCATATTTGATTACATTTTAATCTCTTAACAACTTCCCATGCTCAAGTCATCAGAGAAAAATTCCCTGAATTTTAATGCCATTGAATTTAAGGCAATAGAAAGCCAACTAATCAATAATTAAAATGAAGGTCAGAAAAAAAAATCTGAGTTATCATAAATATAATCAAAACTCTATTTGTGGATTTTTTTAAAGCATGGATGGAGTTACAAGAAGAATGGGTACAACTAGGATGAGGCAAATGAAAAATAACATGATAAAACAAAAGTTGGAAATTATGGGAAAAAATTGGTAAAGGAACTGGCAGTTTCTCAGCCCCTAAAGAGTTTCAAAAAATTGAGGCACCTGAGAGGTGGATGGGAAAAGAGGAGTAATGGAAGGGAAAGAGAGCTGACAATCTTCAGCCCAGCTTCTCCGTTTCACTCTGCCATACATTCTCATTTAAGATGAATAGCTTCATCTGATGGGCAGGTCTATGAAGTTTCCATACTAAAAATACCTGTCTACTTGCAATAATAGTTTCCCTATGGTGATTTGCTTCACAGCCTCTTTTAAAAGAATATTGTTAGCATGCAGATTCTATTAATATAAAGTCCATTGCTGTTCCTCTTTTGTGTTTCAGTGCAATTCTCAGCACCGATCCGTAAGTATCAAATTTATTTCTCCATTCTGTTTCCTCTGGTTTTTAACCTACAAAGCCTCAAGGACTAATCTCCCTGTTTCTTGATGCCCTGCTTCTCAACTCCCCCAGCATTGTTATTACAGTTTTCAGAGATGGTTTACACAAAGCAGAGAGACTGCAATCCCCATGGTTTAGCAAAAGAATATAGAAAAAGCAAATGGCCAGCTCACTAGCTACCCTAGTGCTCTGTCATGAAGGAAAGGTTAACTTCTTAAATAAGCATCAGGTCCCTAATGAAATGAGGGAAAAGGAAGAAAGAGAATTAAAGAAAAGAAAAAAAAAAGCCAGCGGCATTACAACAAAGTCTGGAGTCCTTCCCAATTCTCGTAAAAGGCATCAGCTCTCACTTAAAACAAGGTGGTGGTGGGGTGCAACAGGAAGCCCACTCAAGGAATGCCATACATGAACTTCTAGGATTTGCATCTATGATGCCCCTTCTAGAGTTCTCAGTGTTAAAGTGTAGGGGAAAGGGAATTTTCTTCACAGTGGTGAAGCATACTCATCTTTCTCTTCCCCCTCTTCCCTACTCAGCTGGAGCTACAGGACCTATAAGTAAGTTGCTGTCACACATTATAGGACATTTTAATTGTCTACGTAATTAGGAATACTACACTGATTTCAAGGGTTTGGGGTCTACATTTTCTTGGCCTTTGGTTTTCTTCTGTGTAGCATTTCAGCATGTTATTAATGATCCTGTAAATGTACTGGATTCCCCTGCTTAATACAGACTATATGGAGGAAGATGAACCCTTCTAGAAAATTTCCAATGACTAATTACACAGAAAGAACTTCTGAAAATGGAGCAAGGTGGGATAATGTAAAATCATGGAAAAGGGAAATAAAATAAATTTTAATTGAGGATATTTCCAATCTTTTAAAGTGGTTTAAATGGACCTAAGGAAATGACCTCTATTTAGTATCTTTACCAATTATCTTTTCAGTGGATTAACTACATAGGGGGGCCATTATATGTATATATGTATATGTCTTAGAATTGTCACGAAATATCCACACTACAACTACAGCCAGTCCCAAGTTTATTGGTCCAAATTCTTAGTAGGAAAAGCACGTAAACTACAAGAACTATGTTCTCTAGAACCAGAAAGTACCTACTAACAACTTTTGTCTCTCATTTATTTTTAGAGCTCTCTCAAAAAACCATTGGTAAGTAACCTAAATCTCAATTATAATACCTCTTGTTCCTTCACAAGGCTTAGCATGTGAGTCCATTTCTATCAATGATTGGTGCTCAAACTTCAGGATCAACTGATCCCACTGCTTCATTATCCCTCCCAGAACTCCTAGAGGTCAGATCCACCTAGATTTTGCAATAAAAAAAGACAGTTACTCTGAAGGTAAAAAACAAACCAAAACAAAAAAAACAAACAAACAAAAAAACAAACCCTCTTGGGAATTATACTTTGTGAGCTGGATACCCACTTAAGTTTAGTCTAGATCTTAAAATAATTTGTAATAAATATTTAGAGCACAGCCCATAAACATCTTGCTTTTTGTGTAATGTCCCATTATTTGATTACCTTTATTTTGTAAAATAATGCAAATTTAAACTTATGATTGCACTGAAAAGTTCTCTGTGGATTCTATTTTCACCCACTTTTAGCAACTAATGCATTTTCCATAGAAACATTATAAAGGTTAAGTTAAAAAATGCAATGGAGGATTATTATGTGAGAATAAATAATTTCACATACTGCATTATAGTATTCATGACAAAACTTGACATTTTAAGTTATGAGAGTAAATATGATTTGATGTCCTATTGTATTCATATGACAAACTGTGAGTCTTATACCTAATTGTTAGCACATGACCAAGGAACACCTAGGAACCCTAAACTATTAAGGAGCCCAGCCACCCATGCACACAGTGCATAGAGAAAGAAGAGAAAAAAAGGATATGCCTAATAAAACTCTGAAAATTATCCATCCCCTCATTGACACATAGTCTAGCCAAATAAGGTTGACCTAAAGGAGAACCATTGAGAATTAAAAGCTTGCCACAGGCCTACAGCAGGATGGGGTTAGGCAGGTCTTAGATATCTAGGACAAAAAGAGATACCACATCAAGCTAATGGCTGCCATTTTCAGCTTTCACATGTGTTTGTCACCCATGTGTCTCATCTAAGTGTCTCTACATGTCTCTCCTCCATGTATCTCTTTCAAATCCCCTTCCAAAAGCTCAACAGTACAAGGCAGAGACACAAAAGGAAGATCTCCCAAGCACATATGACTTTAGTTATATACTAAACATGACTGCCTAATTCCACCTCTATTTCCCAGTTGCTCTCCTGCTCAGGAACTCCATACATATAACCTATAGGGACGACCCCATCCTAAGAAATGTGCCCAAACATATGGACGCTTTACTTAGGGAAGCCCAAAGCTATGTCTTTTCCCAATTCAGATGCAGTTAATCAAGGATCACTCTTATATAAAAGCAATGCTGTGAAGTAACTTAGTTTTAGTATTTTAATCAGTTCACTAGAATAACACAGCTCGAAAATCAACTAAAGGCCAGATTCTCTTTAAAAAACTGAAGGTCAGTTTCCTGTTGGTTTGGATTTCTACTTTTATTATAATTACTTTTTTTCCTGATACCTTACATTCCTCCTAAAGGTGAAGTACCTATCCAGTATTTTTCTTGATAATTTCTGATTATCACTGAACATGATCCCTCCCAGCTCCATCCATATTGTATGCATTTATCCATTTTTGATTAAAAAATATATAAAATTTAAAAATAATTTAAAAAAAAAACTGAAGGTTATGTTGACCAGTTGCCCACAGGCACTCTAGTTAATGAAAGCAACATTCCACACTGTCAGTCCCAAATAAGCCAAAAGCTGCCAAGAGACTAATCCTTGTCTCCTACTTAATGCCTACTCCTAGACCACATTACCTGGCTACAAATATTTTAGTATCAGAATGGTCCCTTGATAAATGAACTATTTCTGAACTAAAAGTATAAACATTTACCTTGTTCTAATGTCTCCTGGGTTGACAAGCAAACTAGGGTAGAAGATATTGCAGTATGCTAAGTATCTGAGATAGTATATGCTAAACATCCCTTTTGTTTTATATTTAAAATTATTGAACTCTCCGTAATAAATAAAAATGACTTATTATCAATATTATTTCTTCTCCTTTATTTCCCAAAGCCATCCCTTAGAATTAAATTAATAAAAATGTATTATTTATCTACACACATATACTAAGAGATTAATTTTGGATTTCTTTATAGTGCAAACTCCAGGACCTATTGGTAAGTTATATTACCTATACAAATGTAAATACACACACACACACACATATCATTCACATTTCCTAATAGATAGCTTAAGATCATTCTGGTAATTGTTATAGTGGTCTACAAGTCTTTTTTTCTTTAAACATTTATTTATTTATGAATGCAGAACTGGGGTATAGGCCAGAAGTGTGGGGGGTAAGAGGATTCACCAGAGAAAGTGGGGAGGAGGACAGGAGGACTGACTGAAATACATTGCTAAAGGGAGCAGTGTGCAGTTCAGGAGAGGTCTGCCATGCCATGTGGGTCACCTCTCGGGTCAGGGATTGAACTCATGCTGTAATAGCTTCATGGTGCTGTGTTTTAATCCATTCTGCCACCAGGGAGGGCCCAAAGAACTGATTCTTATGACAAGGCAGTAGTCTAACAACAGTACAATAAAAATAGTTAATGATGAAAAGTAGGATTTAGTAACTCCTAGGGAATCGTTTTTACTACTATCTTATGGAAATTATCAATAGTGTGTTTTTCCTGTTCAACAACCACAATCATTTCAGTTTGTTTCTATTTGTAGTGCAACATACTGGACCAACTAGTAGTAAGTGCCTTATCTATTTTTTTCCCCTGTGATTTTCTTTCGTCTTTACTGTGTCTAGCATGTCTGTTCTGTGTTTTAAATGTATTTATTGTTGTAAAAACAGTGGTTGTAGGCATGTTTTCATTCTTCTCCACTGCTAAGAATTCTTTTTTTTCTTTTTTTTTTTTAGCAAAACTAGTAAGAAATCCCCTCCCCCCAACCCCCAGTAATGGTCATAATGACCTCCATAATAGTATTAGACCAAATAACCAGGGTAGTTTTCTAGCTCAGAAATGTTTTTTAGTTTCTACAGAGCTTATTCAATTCTATTATATATAATCATTATAGACACAAACACCCATGGAGTTTGCTAACATACAAATGTATTTTAGAAAAAGTCTCAAAATGTGAAAATTGGTTGCCACACAATTTTACTATACCACTAAAAGTGGATGCTGGTTCTAAATATGCTTCTCATTGTGAATTGATATGATCCAGCATTTACCACTTTTCCCCTAAATCAAGGCTGCCTATCTCAACACTCTTAATTTTCACCATGACCCACAGCCTTGAAAGTTCTCAATTCTTACAGGGAAAAATTCCCTAGCCAGCTCATCTCAGAGTTCCTCACTGCGGCTAGAGGAAGGGTCTCATTTGGCCCAACAACCCCTAATAATCACCCTGTGCCTGAAATCTATGGGGATGTGGATTCCCTTTTATTATTTTCTTCCTTCTTAACTCCCTCTCCCCTAGTATAAGCACTTAAAATATATATTGATAGATAAACGAAAAATAAATGCTACATTCATTCCATCCTAGTTTCCCCTCAACCTACAGGTAAACTGGAGAAAGGTGAAAAATGCACCGATTTTTTTTTTAACTAAAAATATTGGGTGACTCCAAATGGGGCTAACTTCAAGTAAAATAAAATGTTAGGGAAAAAGTGAAGTTAGTGAAAATGAGAATGACAGAAGTACAAGGCACAGACATTATGAACCCATGGAAATAATTCAAGCACCTCTCTTCCCCAGAGGAACAGGACAGATGAATGAAACCACCATATGGCCACTCTCCCAGACCAGACTTGAGGATATAAAGCGCAAAGATGGGGGTACTTAAGCCCACACACTGCACTAAGCTAAGAGGTCCCTGTATCCTCTGTTAAGTTACACACACTGACTTCTCTATTTTCCCTTATATTTTTCCACTAGATGAAACTTCAGAAATGACCAGTAAGTTCTTTAAAGGTCCAGAGTCCTTTGTTTCTATCTTATGGGTATACCTTTTGCTTATTCCACTACATACGTATACCTCAACCCTAAAAATTGAATGAAGTGGTAAGACTTCAGTCCCCACTTAGAAAACCAAAATGATACATAACATATTAAATATGGATGATATATATTAAAAATATCTGGAGGAACTATTTGTTCACTGTGACTTGTCAATAGGGGAGGGAGTATACATGTATCATTGAATGAAAACTTGCATGGAGAAGACAAGTGAAGGTGGGACTGTTTAAATTACCACTCCTTCTTGGGTTTTAAGAAGTTATCAGTCACTGACAAAATGGATGAGATAAATGAGCCCCTCTCCTACAGCCTTCCAGACTAAGCAGTAGACAGAATCCCTCAAGGCATGGTGGCAGATATGTTCCCCAGCACAGGGAATTTATGCTCCCCCTCGATTACCATTCCTGATTTTCCCTATTAGTAGAAACCAGAAAACTAGTTCCTCTTTCATCAGTCTTCCTACACCAATTTTCCTCTTTCTTTTTACAGCTACAAGATCCTCTTGTAAGTCTGATTATTGCCCTTCATAATAAAACACAATGTTCTCCAGCAGTGTCTAACAGATTTTCTTTTTCAAATTTTTGTTTTTTTATTTTTACTAATGTCATATTTATTATTTTACATCCTTGTTTTTTCACAATATAGTAAGAAATCTTCTTAAACCAAGATTTATCCATCTATATTGGAATTGCATTAGTGAAAGTCCCTATTTCTTTTACCCCTTTTTTTTCCACTATTGAGAATTCTACTAGGTTATTTAAACGTTTCTAAAATATTCACTGATTAACATAAGTTAAAAAGCAGAGAAAAAAGTTTGTCCATGGTTCTAAAGATAGCCAATAAGGAATTTTCATACAGAAAGGAGAAAGTGAATGGAAGAAAAAATCTAGATAATCTTTCTGTTTTATAGCTGGATCATCTACACAACCAATTAGTAAATTGTTTCTCAGTTACATCCTTGTCCAAGTCCAATGGTACCTATTGGAATTTGGAACCAGTAGAGGAATTCAAAATTTGTTCTCTTAGCATTTTGCTTCCCCATAGTATAGTACTAGCTGCTTAGAAGTTTTCTGGAAATCTCAAATGATCTAATCTTTTAAAAAAAAAAAAGTTGTAAGCAATTATATCTCTAGGAAATTTCCCAATAGGAAAAAAAATGGATAGGCATATAAATAAGAAAGGATGAATCAGCAATCTCTCTTGCTTGCTTTTCAGTGGGATCAACTCCTCAACCAATCAGTAAGTCTGTATGTTCATTTGATTCTCTGCTACAGGGATAATAGATTTCTAGTGGGTTTTAAAAGTCTTTATCTGACCAGGTTTAATTTTAAAAGACATAAGAAATATCTTGGCCTCTTGCTCTGTCACATAGAATGTCACAAATTAGGGGGGAAAAATGACAAATTGATTGGGGAAAAGGCTCTAACTGTTTATTCTCTCTGTTCTACCTTCCAGCAAGACCAACTCCACATGCCCTCAGTAAGTCTGTTTCTGCCACTATGGAAACCTGTAACCCTCCCTCCCCTGGCATTGCTGGGATTCTGGGAATGGGGTACACACCTCCTTCACCAATGTCTTCCCATGGTTATTAAGTGATATTTTTTGAAAATTCAAATCCTGTTGATTTACTTTAAAAGTAAGCAAAGGCCAAAAAGAACTTTCTTCCTCATTGCTATAATGGTCTGTTGTGAGAAATTCTCTAGTGGGAGAGAAAATGTTTGCACAGATACTTGTATTTGTCTTTCAGCGGCTCCATCCAGTGGTAAGTTCAGTATGTTTTTCTATTGTTTTCTTTATTTATTGTTGTAGTTGTTCTTGTAACATCAGATGACCTGTGTGTGTCTGTTCATTTCTAACTCTTGTGCAACCACCTGAGACTTTCAGCTCTCCAGGTTTCTTTACCTTCTACTCATTCATCTCCTTCTGTGATTATACTTACATTTAATTTCAAGTATATGCTTACCTTGCATGTTCTTTATAATAAGAACTGTATAGGTGCTTTAATTACATCATCCCATTTAATTCTTAGAGAACTCCTCTGTCCTCTTTGTAATAATTTATAAATGGAGGCTACATATCTGTTCTAGTATATGTAATCATAAGACTATAATTTGAACAAAAATCTGAGAATACCAAGCTTTGCCTCTGCTCAGATAGGCTTCCAAGGAAGAAATATTATTCCATTCAGATAAATAGTCATTGATATATAACTTGTTTTTCTAGGTCTGCCCCTGGCACCCATAAGTAAGTATTATATCTGTGTCCTTACTTTCCTTTGGTTCACTTTGGTCTTCAAGGTCTAGGGGACTTTGGCCCATTAATGTAATTTGAATCTCTCATTGCTATTTTGTTCATTTATTACTCAGATTCCTGTGTACTGTAGATAATTTGAGAGATTTGGATTAATGGAAAGGATAAACTAATATTTGTAAATAACAACCCAAAAAAACCCTGATTGATACTGTAGAATAATAAGGGTAGGCAAAACTTTTGGTGGGGGGGAGAGCAGGTGAGAAAATGAGAGAGAAAGATCAAAATATTTGCTGGATGTATAAATGGAGAAAAATCTTGAGCATTCTCTCAAAGATCATGATACTATTTAAAGAAAACCTTAAGTTCCATTGGATATTACTTGGGAATTTCCCAGTTATTCAGGTCCAATAATGAAGAAGGCCTTTCAGGAAAACCTGCCTTTGACTTCATTATAACATTGTCACTGCTTCACTGAATATCTAGGTTTGTATTACACCTACCCTACAGAAAATTTTGGATTACTTTTTTTTCTTATGTGCAATTAATCCTCCCCACATAGAAACCAACAGCATGTATTAGGTAATACTATATTTTTCCACTTTAAGAAAAATTTCATGGATTTATTTCTGCTTATTTTTCAGTGATTTCACAGAGAACATCAAGTAAGTTCTTTACTTCTTAGTTTGTCATATGTGAGACTTTTTCTGAATCAAGGGGCTTATATGTCTAATACACAAAAGGGACTCTCACTCATAGTCCTTTATATCTATATTACACAAAGGTGTTCAAATTAGTAATTGAAGGATTTTCCTTATTTCTGTTCTTAACTCAATTCCCAGGAAACAGACATCAAGTGATTCAATATTTAAACTAGTTCAAGTAATGATAATGGTTAT